CCCAAGCATCGAGCTTCTTTTTGAATCCAAGGTCATGAAAATGGTTCAGAACGGATTTTTGGATAATCTTAAGTTCCACAGCAATTAAATAAGTGCTCAGGTGTCGGTCTGTTTCTACTAGTTCCATGATTTTTTTGCAATTTTCGACGACAGACCTCCCGACGCGCGGTGCATCTTTGACATCGAAATTACCGGAACGGAACCTAGCAAATCACTTTTGTGCTGAACGTGCGTTTACAGTGTCGGGCTCATAAACTAAATTAATCAGCCGCTTTGACTGCTTTTTCGCCTTGATCGAAGAAAAATTGTAAAATTTAGCGAATTTTCCCTTTGCTGGTGTCCATCTTTGAAAAACTGTCAAGGACAAACTTTTAGCGCGAATAAACACATTTTCAGCGTCGTATAGTATGGCATGATGTGACAGGTAACAATATTACTATGGACAATAACGCCACCGAACGAACTTTTTACACTTCAAAAATAATTTATCTGTGATTCTGTGTCTGACAATGTAACGGGTTGATCTCAGTGTTCCAGATCTCTCTAAAGTGAAATTGTTATTTTTTGTCATTAATTTGTGTAGAATAATATTTTTTAAAAAATTGGCTAGATTACTCGTTCTATATTTTCTAACAATTCCTTTGCAAAAAAATTTCTTTAACTGCAAAAACAAACAACATTTTTTTTAAACTGTTAAACAATTTCTTCTTTTGAAGTCAAATCATTAGTGAAGATTTCTTTCAAGTCGAGTTCGCATTTCGGTTGAAAAAATGTTAATGTTGCTCATACCTGCGCCACTTTTTTCTCACACATTCCTATGCTACATACATACATACATACATATGTACATATTTGTGAATAAAGTTAACGCTGCAATCGTTTACTCAAAGCAAAAAGACTTTACAACCACCAAGTGAGTCATATTTTGGCAATCTAGTGGAATTTTTGAGAACCTTCAAAACCATATTTTTTTTTACGAAAACCAACAAATAAAATTAACACCAAAAAAAAAAAACATTTTATTTATGAATTTGTAGCTGCCAATGTAACGGGTTGAGTAAGTTTTGAATACATACGTGTATTTACAAAAGCGAATACAATGCTGTTGCAAACAAATTATTTCGAGTGTCTGCTTGTAGCTTTTTTCGTTTTCTAATTTGGTGTTGGCATAAAGAGTTCGTCATTTTCACTTCTACTTTTTTTCTAAGACAATGCTTTTGTACTCGAATCATTATGCGTTCAACAGACAAATTTGATATACGAGCTTATGTACATACATACATACTTAGGCACATACCTAACTGAATGTGTGTGACCTGCTATTGTGTACTTCAAGGTTCCACGTGAAACTCTGCAGCATAATAACATTTTTTTTATATTAGAGATATTGTTGACTGATGGTGATTTTTTTTTTATTAGCGGATGCACGCGCTGCTATTTTCTATGTAATGGAAAAATATTTCTTTGATGTGAGAAATATTAAACAAATTAAAAATGTTTTCGAAAGTAATAAATACTTGAGAAAGATGCGGGGGTGTTGTTGATGGTGAAGCTACATAAGTGGGTTTTCGGTGAGGCATAACAATTGCGGCGGCTGCGAGAGCCGAGATGCCACTCGGAAAACCAGGGTTCGAGCCCTGGTCCGACCAATAATCAAACTTTATAGAAATTTAATTTTTCTAATTATTGTCGCTAGTTTCATGTTCTGAAAATGATGTAGTTAAAAGTATTATAAAATCTTTGTATCAAAATTAAAAAGGGCAGACATTTTAATACACAATGGGAGTAACAAATGTTCGGTCAGTTGGTGGCTTTCAATCTCAATTCAATTTCAGGGAATGCCAAATTGCAAATGGAATGATTGCGAGGCTATTTCTAAGTGGTTCCGAAGATTCCAGACTGGACATTTTTCCGCAGAGGACGAGCCCCGAGAAGGTCGATCAAAATCCTCCACTGATGACGTCACAGTAGCTCTTGTGCAGTCCATAATGGACGAAGGCCCACGATTGACAAAAGAAGTGATTGCTAATGAACTGTGTTTGAATTCCATGGCTGTACCTCAAATATTAAGAAATCAGCTGGGATACACGAAGAAATCTGCTCATGTGGGTACCACGAATTTTAAATGAAGCTCGAATTCATTTCGCTCAAGTTCCTAAACAAATTCGAAAATGGTCAAACTAGTAAATCTAGAAAATTTGTTACTAGTGAGTAATCTTGTTTCTATAAGAACAAACCGGAAACCAAACAGCAGTCCATGGTATGGAGCCCAACAGGAGCAAACCTGCCAGTAAAATCTAAGCAACAAAAATCAGCGGCAAAAGTAATGAAGTCAGTTTATTTCACTTCGTAGCAAGTATTCCACTGGAAAAGGGTCAGACGGTAACTACAAAATGGTACACCGAAGCTTGCTTACCAAAGGTTTTCAAAAATTTGTTGGAAAACAGGAAGAAAGAGGATTTGCGGCGTTTCTTTTCACATGAAGACAACGCGCCATCCCACTCTGCTGAAATAACGAGTAATTTTATTGCGATCTTTGGGAAAGGAAAGGGGTTTAATAGCAACGAGGAGCCAATTGATGCAGTTAATGCTGAACTTGATAAGCTTAAAAGCAAGATTTTGAAGACACTTTTCAGAAGTGGATCTATAGGCTTAAGAAAAGCATTGAAATCAATGGCGATTATGTAGAGAAGATAAGAAAGAGCAAAGATATCGAATAAATACCAAAAGAAATGTTTTTTTCTGGTCGACTAATCGAACTTTTGTTAATCCCTCCGAATATATAAAAATATGCAGATGTATGTATGTACATAATTATGCATTTATGTATTATTATTGTTGCTATGACACAAAGTTTGGTTGCTTTTACAGCTTGTTTGTTTGTTTCTATGTCAATATTATATTTGCCTTTCTTATTGCATAAATACCCTAGCTTGCATTGAGGCGAGTCGCCGCAGAAGACAGTGGTAATCAAAATGATTATTTATATTATTTAATATAATTATTATTATTGCATACTTAATATTATTTGTTTAGTTTTAATTTTCAAATGATCTATATACAATAGTTTTAACCCAAGCGCCTAATTGTAGGCAACATTTTATTTCCGTTTTTATATTTAGAAATTTTAAGTAAAACATGGCGGCAGCGATGGCCGAATGGTTAGCATTGCGTTCTGCCGTTAGGAAAGACTGGGTTCAAATCCTGGTACGACCAACATCCAAAAGTTTTAGAAAATTAAAAAAAATTTATTTTAAGTTGAATTTTCTATTTTCGGCGCTTTGTACCCGCTGAAGCGATTTTCGGCTGATCTCCTCCTCCAATTTCTGGCTTGATGTTTTCCCAACAAATAGAGTTTATACGAACGGCTGATGGTTTTTTATGAGGAGCTTTATTTCTTGTCCGAAATACACTCGGTGAGGCGACCTTTTAGAAAATTTAACTTAAAGTTTTATTTAAATTAATTCAATTCATTTACTAACCAACAACTAACGAAAACGCTAATTTACTCACTATTTTTATAACACTGTGCCACGCTTAGAAATTGCCAGCTGTGCTATGTTTTGCTCAAGACGCGGTTTTTAGCCGCGTCGACGTCAGTGAAACTTTTGTAACTTTGTTTTTTTTTCGTTTTGTATTTTATCTTTGCCCATGTTATATACCTACATTCTTTATCTTCACATTTCGGTGTGTACCAATTCTGCAATTCAACTATAATTATATGTACCTCTGTGTGTTTTAGAAGGGGGAAAATGTGTGTTTCAAAGCAGAAAATGCGAACATACAATAGCAATGTACCTGTGTTGTTGTTGTAAAGTTTATTTGTACGCACGAAGGCGTGTAGATTTTTTTTTAGTTCGTTAAGCAAGTAATATACCTTTCATGAGCATGAAAACGTGTTGGAAATTTTTCGATTTGATATTTTAACAGCAATTTAAAAACTAATATGCCAACAATCAACGACCGTTTTTCTATAAAAGCAGCTTATATTTTTAATAAGAAGTAGTCCAACGAATAACGTATTTTGTTTGAAATATAAATATATTGTTAAATTTAAGTCAGCTAGTCACACTAGTCTATAATAGACATAAAACACTTACTAGTTCAGTTTTGAAAGAAAATAGTGTTTTTGTCGGTTAAAAATGCAATTGCCAGTTTTCAGTAACAAACATACTAGTTTTATACTAATTTAAAAAGGACAAACAAATGAAAAAAATCACATAAAATAAAAAAAAAC